CGTTGCACACATGGTGGCTGCATACATCAAGTTCCAGCTACAGTAAAATCGGCGTGAGTTTAAGTGTGCACAGATGAGGCACAATGCCATGCGTATGCCATCATGTAACACCAACATGCGGGGCTGCCGCAAAAGAGTGAATAAAATAGGGATAAATAAGGACCATAGACGAAGGAATAATAAGGACCAGCGGCGTTGGGCAGCCGCCCGCTATACGCTCGAGTCCGACAGCGCTGGTAACTACTTAATATATGGGTGGGTTCTGTCTTAGTTAATGGGATTTTTTCCGTGGTTGTTGTCTCCGCAGTAGTCGACCCTTCAATATATGGAGGTTCATAGACTGAATATTCATTCAGTGGATTTCTTAAGGATACTGCAGATTTCTTTAGAGTTGTGAGTAAAAATGAAAATTAACTGGCGTGTTTTATACTCTACTTATGTTTTCCTCTCTACTTTGATGAAGTCCTCATTAAGCATTTAATTAAAGTTAAGGATACGACGAGAGAAGTCAATGGTTCATTTTATTTCGTTGATATCGCCGTCTCTGCTATATAGCCTTCACTATACATTAAATTCTACGAGTTTTTAGAGTTATAAAGAGAAAGTGAGTAGTCAATGACGTGTTGTACCAGGCATCGTTTGCAAGTGTTTTAGTACTGTTTACTTTTATATGATCAATACAAATGTGCGAAGGCCTTTCTGAAAAGTAACGAAGCCACTAATATATAACTTTCATGAATGGTTCATAAATTATATTATATTTTGGCCGCAAATCTACAATTGTTTTTTTTTTTAACAATTACGCAAAAAAATTTTTCTTTCACAATATAATTAGTGTGTAATAATCAAGATTAACGAGTGATGCCACCATTTTTTGTTGAAGTGTCGGCAGTTGCTGCTTACGCACGTATAGTTTGATGTATGTACTGTTTTTTCTCAAATAATCGTAATCGCAGTTTTTTACTGCAGTAATGTTTTGGCAGTTTCACTAGGTAGTGTCACCCACAGTACACTTCATTCTGCTCCTTTCAAATTTTTGCGTTTCCCGCGTTCATATTAACTTTACTGAAACTAAATTTGTACCGAAAACATTTCAACCAGTAGGTAATTTCTTTCAGGTGTGGAGTTGGCGTTTCTCGATTCGTCTGCGCCCAGCTCGCTTTAAGTATTTATTTAATTCAAATAGCTGTATTCTTCCTGCTGGGAGCAGCTGCTGTCAGTGATCGCAGCTGCTCCCTGCCTCTCGCCTCATGGCCACGCTGCGTTTAGCAGCAGTTTTTAAGCGACATTTGTAGTCGTTCGTTGCGAGTTAATTAATAGTTGGTTTTTTAGCGAGCGTCATGTTCGTGAATGAAGATTATAGTTTTGTAAATTTTCATGTACGATCAAATTCAAATAATCCGTAGAATACATAATAGAATACCATACACGGTAGAATACCATAATAATTTCTAATATTTAACTTGGCTACCGATATATTTGGCATTTTTAATTTCACCAGAATCGAGTATCCACCATGTGAATGCAATCAATATTAAGTTCAATTGTCTTTTGCAGAGTTACCTTGGCGATCTTGTCTACCTTGGTGGCCTGGTCAGCAGCGGTTTGAAATACAACAGCTGACGAGGCGGTCCTGGTTGAAGCTGTCTGGTTTCTAAGCGTTTGTGGCGTCATTCATACGCCCGTCTCTCTGTCTCTGTCCATACAAAGAATAAGTAGCCAGCGCAGTCTGTTGTTGAACCTGTTATTCCGTACGTTAATCATCCTTGTGACCTGGTACTTACTACAAGGTACTCCTATACTATACGAGTTTACTGCCCGAAAGTGCGTACGACATGAACGGCTCGCTCGGAACAGTAAGATAGTTCGTGGACGCCTGTGGCGGAATCACGCTACGCATAATGATCCGGTCTCCTATTAGAGGTCTGCGGGCCCCTCAGTTGAACTGTGACTTCTTTGCAGGAGAAGCTCGATTCGTGCAAGGAGGAGCTATTACTAGAAGTATAGTCTCGGGACGTGGTCTTGCTGTCTGGCAGCCTACCGATGGTGTGCAAGGTTAAGCATAGCCTGAAAGCTAGAACGGAGGCGGCCCCGCCATTTACAAACACGGGCCTTGACGTATTCGGGCCGTGGCAGGTGCGCACGGGACGAACAACGCGACGAGAGGGTGGAACAACGCAATTGTGGGCAGTGCATTTCGTATGTCAGTCGTCCCGTGCGGTGCACATAGAGGCCTTGCCGTCTCTAGACAGCGCCGCTTTTGGGAACGCCTTGCGTCGCTTCCGTGCGATTCGCGGTGACTGTCGTATCTTGCGAAGCGACAGAGGAACGAATTTCGTTGGCCACGCTAACGAAAATTTGGACTTGCGTCGGTTTTCCAAGAGTTGTCAAGACGAAGATTTCCTGTGGATATTTAACCCACCACACGCGCCACACTTTGGTGGATCTTGGGAACGAAAAGTAGGCCGGATAAAGCGTGCGCTGGATGCTGCTATTCTCTTGGCCCGCGCTGGTGGACTGGCACACGACGAGCTGTGCACCCTACCAAGAAGCCGCTGCAATTGTAAACGCTACTCCCCTCTGGGAAATCAGTGCGGATCTTAATGAGCCTCAGCCCTTGTCACCTGCCATGCTTCTAACTATGAAAAATACATTACCCGACGAAGAGACCTATGAACACGACTTGGCGAGCTACGGCGCTCGCCGCTGGCGAAGAGTGCAGCATCTAGCTCAGGAATTCTGGACAAGGTGGCGAAAGGAATACCTTCAAGACCTACAGAAGCGACAGAAATGGCTCGTGAAATCTTNCTGCAAGAGGGAGTACGCCTTGTTGGGCTCACGAGGGCGACCCTTCGTCAGCAGCTACCTATTCCCCAGCAAATTCTGCCCTGGGTTGCCCCTTGAGGCTCTTGTCACCTTTTTAATGGATGTCCTTCTTCTAATGAGTAAGTGAATGATAGATCTAAACTGTTATAGGTTAACAGGAAATTTGGCAGTAATTATAATTAGAATTGACGTAACTAGAACAAGGGTGTACACTTTAAAATATTTGTCGGAAAACCTATCGTGTAGACGGTGTAGTGAAGGTCATGTAAGAACTGACTTATCAGTTACGAGATGTGGGTTGAAAACACTATATCAATTCAGCAACCCCCGGTCCTAAAAGTTTAAGAGGAATAGCTCAGGATGTCCGTGCAGTCACAATAATTGTCGGTTCTTTTCGCTTAGTGGTTCACGCGTACATGTAGAATAATTGGTAATTGAGGCTCCTTAATTTGCGTTCAGTGGAGAGCCAGTCCGCAATATCGCACGTGGGCGTAACTGATATGCGCCTTGGAGAGGACCTCATCCACGTGGTCATGGCGACACTGCTGGCCCTGGCTCCCGTCGTCGTCATCCTGAAACATTACAGGTATGCTTTGGTGTACGCACATTCTCAGAGAAATGATTGATATTTTGTCCAAATTCTGAGGCACATACTGCGCTTGTGTTGGTCATCCTGGGTACAATTTGGCGTATCAATGTTACGTCCGTTTTCTGCTGGTGCTGTAGGCTGGGAAAGTATGTCAATATTTTGACAATATGACCCGTTCATTTTTCATATTGCCATACTTAAATCGTTAAAATCATCAATCAGCAATCATAGCTTTATAATATGACAATTGAATTGCGATAATGTGGAGACACAAGAAAACAAGTTAATCGTTATAAAGAACGATTAAAATTTAATTTTACAGTACAATGAGTAAATACAAATTTTGTTCGTGAATAATTAAATATGATACTTAACATTAAGTGAATGTTCATCGATAAGCCCTCGTGACACACTCAGGAAATTAAATGGTCAAAATGATTGACTTGAGAGTTAAATTATTTAGAAACAACGACCCTTCTGGTCGGGGTTTAACTCTGCCCGAATGTTTTATATTTAAAATAAATAAATTTATACCGATAACTTTGGCTTCAACAATAAATAATTTTCCAATGAGCATCGTCGATGCTATATGAAGCTGTACTAATAAAACATATAAATAACAACTTAAATTTTGCAACTGCAATATTTTTGCAATATTCCAATTATTTTAGTGGATGAATTTATGACGACAGGTGCTTGGAAAATGAAAGATGATGAGAGAAAAACGATTAGTTTTATTCTATTTTTTAAGGTCTCAGCTTGAATTTTCATATCTGATGAGATTTTACACAAAGGAAGGAACCGCGACACCATAACTCAATCATTTTATGCCACACGTAGCAGCCATGATGATTTTCAACTGAACAACCTATTCAGATATTCAAGCTCCTCTTACCTTCCAGCTGCAAGGTTCATCATTCACCTTTAAGAAGATAACAATTTTCAACCAGTCGTCGTTGTGCTCATGTAATAAATTTTTCAATACGAATAGTTTTTTGCATGTTTATCATTCATGAATGATGATATTCACTAAATAATGCTTGGAAGTGAACGTGAAGCAATAAGTGCACATTACAATACTAATAAAGTAAACCTACCAGGTATCCCGTGATCGATGGTATGGAGTACTTCGTGTCGGGATCGGCATACCTGATCATGGCCTACACAGCGTACAATCACGTCCTTCATCCTACCACTCTAGGCAAACAGGCACGGCAATCCCTTTCACGAGTCAAAATATTCCTGATATCAAAGATTGATTTTGAAACCAAATGACAATGTTTTGAACGAGTTACTTTCAAAATCGACACTACAACATTGAATATGTGTGCAGTCAAAACACAATTCTCTTACAAGAGAATAACTCTATAAAAACTTCGAGAAAGTCAAACAAAGAATTGAGAACTGAAATTTAAGACGTATTGGAAGTTGCTTAAAATACGAACAAAAGTTTACTAATTCGCCCAATTTTTTCCAAGCGTTTACGCAACTTAAAAATTTACGCAACTTGAGAATAAATTTCGTAAAATAATTAATTTTCTTTAGGGCATTCAAATGACTAAAATAAGGCAAAATATAAAACCAACAATGTGAGATTTCTTTACAGGATAAAACTTTAATACAACGATAACTAAGTAACTATGCAAAAAGTACCGATCGTACAAATTGATTAAAAAATGGGTATATGATTTTCATCCGTTGAATACTTACCTCATTTATGAACAGGTACACACGCAGGTGAACATCGTATGGGTACTCATAGCGGTCACAATGTTCATCGAGTCCCAGAACTTGGACAAGCCGCTGTTCCCAATTATCCGCGCCTTCTGGTATTGTTATGCAGTGAGTATTGCAGCTCAAATTCTCCATAAGTATTACCTTCTACATAGTATTTAAATTATACGAGTCATCAAAATTATTACTCAATTCTCATATATGAAATAGTGGCATTTTAACATTGGCATCTCAACTCTTCGACTACTCAAAAGTCTATGAATCAAGACCAAAGTAATATATGCAATTCTACCAGTTAATCGAAATAAAACTAATCTGGTAGCATATATAAAATTTGTATATTCAGTAAAAATGTAAAATGAATGTCATTTAAAACATAAACCAGCTTTCAACCCGGTTAATATGTCGCTGGGGGTTCTAGGTTAAGCATAATGCAACGAAGACCGATAACTGAATTATAATTAAAGCATTTTTCTCCCAACAAAGGGCGGGCTATTTGTACAGGTGGACTTTATCTTGTTCGATATGAACGGCGGAAGCTGGCCTACAGAGAACGGTTTCTACCTCCTCCTCGAGCTTATGACACTTACGTGGCACTTTGTTGGGGAACTTTTGGTCGTGGGCGTGGTGAGCTTCGTGGCGCTGGTGCTGGTCAAGAGGATGAAGCCAGCCCAAGTCAAGGCGCAGCTCGACATCAGCCTGGGCTGCAGCTCCGGTGGTCAATTTACTGACGAAAAATCAGGCGAAGTCCGGTACTGCCTGTTGAAAAATTGCGATGATGTTTGAATGCTGTTGTTTCTTCATCTAACCTGTATGTCTAAATATATAACCCGCCAAATTTCCGGCAATGAAATAACGTTTATTGAAAGTTGTTAATACGAAATCAACGCCTTATCAGCGTTGTTTTACTGAATGTAATTTGCCTTTACGGAAGATTTTCATGCATAATATATAATATATCTATGGGTGTGTGTTATACATGGTAGCTATGCATATATATTATGTATGCATAATATAGGTGCAGGTATGTGCTACAAGTGCAATAATTAATGACCCGAGAGTTCGATCATTTATCTAAATTTTCGGTGTCGAACAATATTCTTCAGAAGACTTTGGTTGATCATAATGCAGGTTTAAGGAAGAAATTTTAAGTTATTAATGAACTTTTGAATACAACAACATTCATTTCATGTTCTAGGAATAATTGAATACCGAAATTGGAATTTGTACATAATATACGCAAATAGGTTACAACACAAAAATTTGGTACCGTAAAAATAAATATGAAATCTCAATATTTTTTCAAATGCCACTGTACAAATGCACTTAGCCTAGACGGGCAGCTGAACAGAGGGTCGCCGTTTGGTCGATTTCAGCCGTGGTGTCACCAAATTTTAAATTGTTAATTTATTTTATTATTAATTATTCACTGAACCTAAAACATAGATTCTTGATATATCGGTGCAGAAGTCGGTGATTTGGTTCTTTTGAATTTTATTCATGCAATGAATTGCAGGACAGCAATACTTGCTGAATATATACAGGGTCAGCCATATTTATGGCAACGGATATTTGAAATGAAAACAAATTTGTTTCTAGGAGACTTTTATTTATTAAGAAGCTTAATATCATCCATTATTTGATCTACTTTATATTGCAGAAGTATAAGGTGTCCAAATTAAGCATTACTAGTGGCGGTACTAAGAATGCAATTGTAACCCTTCAGTAAAAAGGCGAGAGCAATTCAATATTTGCAAAGAAGCTCCATATTCGTCGTGAAACTGTGTGTAAAGTGGTCAAATAATTCATGTAAACTGGGGAAACGTGCAATCGACCTGGTCACTGAAGGAAACGAAGTGTCCGAACAAAACAATTGGTCAAAAGCACGAGGGAGAAGTTGAGGTGAAACCCTCGTCGCTCAGCTGCAAAATTGGCTGCAGAAGCAGGAGTCAGTTAGACATCAATGCTGAGAATACGTAGATCTGAAATGCTATATTTAGTGGCTGCGTCGCACTACAAAAAACAGGAGGTTATAGGATTAAATAATCTATTTTTTATTCAAGCCAATTTATGTTTCATTAACAATATACAAAATTAAAACCGTGTTCAATTGTAGTAGAAAGAATAATTTCTTTGTTCTAGTAATATAAATATCTAAGGTAAACAATTCTTCAACGCATCAGGTTCCTTGAAGAAAATTTGCATTGCACTCATTACAGTCCGAAAGCTTTTTATGGAGAAATCTGGCGCAGCTTGCGGCGGACAGCGTAGGTGGATCGGCAAAAAAATTAGTAAAGAAACATAAATATAGTCGACTTCAAGAGCGCTCAGCAACTCTGTGTATTTTTTTCAGAGCTACTTTGGTTCTTTGTTGCTATCCGGAGTAGCACAAGATATTTGTACTATTTTTAGGAGCTAACGCCCTGCGAATTATCACTTACCTAATTAATAAGTATCCCATTTATCGTTATTATTAAACGATTGAACCAATATACGAAAGCGGCTGTCAGTACTATAATGGCATAAACTCACTGACAATTCATATTCTACAATGAATTCGCTGGTCAATCGAAGAAGACTTTTGGAATTGATCAGTTGATCTGTCTGTCAGGCGCAAGATTTGTCCCAAATTGGTTAAATTGATTGTAATTTCGTAGGAGCAAGGATAAATAAACTTTTATAGCGCGTATAACAGAACATTTAGAGTAAATATTTGCAAATTTGGTGAAAATATTCGAACATTTGACATAAATATCAGAATATTTATGATAAATATTAAAGTACTTTGCTAAATTTTAGATAATGATGCATAAAGAATTAATTTCTATAAAATTCAAAAGGAAGAGAACTACACAAATAAAAATAGAAGTTATACAGAGAAGTACACAAATTGTCAATTTGTTTCGGATTACTGTCAATACAAAAAATTCAACATCGCGCAACTAAACCAGAAAATTCCGGATAGTTTGCGTTCAACTTGCCATGACCTCAGAAAGAATCCAAGGGCCAATAAAAAATATCCTATGTAATCACAGCATAACGTATTAAACAATCAAGAGTCACCAATACATCTTTTATGTGACGCTGAGCGTCAGCCTCACAGCCATCGCACAATATCATGAGCTCCCGTTTCTATTCGTGTGCGAAAGACGAGAATTTTTTGGGGAGAGGAAAATTAGTGAACCATGAAAATTGTATATAAACTTTAGTTGCATGTTGGGAGAGGATAATTAGGAGCAGGATAGGATAATTTATATGATAGCGCTTGAATAGGATATTGAGGAACAGGATACGTAAGAGCAAGTTCCTCAAGAGTTCGATACTTAGTAATACAATAATGATAAATACGTTTATTAGGAACAGGATACCTACATAATACATTTATATTCGTTATAATTATAGCACAATATCTAAAAACTATTCATGTATCATGGTATCAATCAAATTTTTAAGGTGGCTCCTGTAAGAGTAACCTTAAAAAGGTCCCGCTAGCCGTAGGCTCAGATTCGCTGTCGTCACAAGATAAAACATGAGTTCTCCGTTAAGTAAGAACCCCCAGTTAAGTAGGAGTCTCCTGTTCGCGAAAAATCTCCTTATCGTACCATAAACCCCATCATATTGGAACCCCTTGCTAAGTATAGGGCCCACTGTTAAGAGGGGGCTCCTACTTAACCCCTCTTGCCTCCTCTTTTAAGTATAGGATCCTCGTAACGCTAATGTATGGAGCCTCAATGTGATATATGATTCAGTCTATAGAAAGATATGGTGATGAAGTCATCCCAAGCCCCCACTCGTATCCGTTAGTACTCGCCTGTGTCCCTACGACCGATTCAGGATTCGTATTCATGGTCGTTAGCCTGGTGCTTGACTGGTATCGCATCGATAAAGGTAAAAGGTCCTAGTTTGCGGCACGCTCTAAAGGATACAAACTAAACATGCAAACGAGACGCGGAGTCACCAAGCATTTACTGTCGGCCTACATTTGTTTGCCGAGGAGAGGCTCGGTCAACCGACCTTGAAGTGGCAGACTTGCTTAAAACTAATGAAGAAGAAGTCTGCGTTGGCTGGGGTGGCATTCGTGCATTGAGCAGGCATTAAAATAGTGAGTATCTTTGTTTCAAACTTAATTTTTTAGTACATTTTTTGTTGTCGTAATGTTTTCGATCTGCTTCTCGCATAATTGATTTAGTTGTCAACGCTTGTTAATGATGTGAGAAAAAAACTTATTCAATTATGTGAAATCTTCTATTCAACAATCACAGTGATTAGTTGTCTGCCGAGGAGTGTTTATTGTCACATATTTGAAGCTGAAGAAATAGTAAAATGTTCGTCTTGCTCTCCAGTTGCGGCATAGGCGTCACTCTCGTTGCTGCGCATTTTTGCTGCTCACTTACGACGTCATGGTGCCTAGCGTGAACTTCAATTACTATATTTAAAAAAGTAAGATTGCTAAATATATTTTAGTTCCAATAGTTTTTTGATGTATCGTGTCTGAACTAAATTTGTTACATTAAATTGCGAGTTTGTATTTGGCTTAGATGTAAAAAAATGTATATATATTTTTTCTGAATAAAATTTCTCTTCTTATAGATCTTGATGAAACTTTACGCTTTTTCAAGTTATGTCTACAGTGTTGAATGGCCTGTCGAGGTTTATTCTGGCCACATATATGTATCTGAAAAATTGTAAAATTTTCAATTGTCTCTGCAGGTGTATTGTCACTATCGTCGTTGAGCATTTTAAAAAGTATATTTATGTTTTTTTTTTCGTTTTCAATTTGTTAGATATAATATTGTCTTAGATAACACTTTCACTTCATTCGATTGCGTTCATTTGATATCAATGTCAAAATTTTGATATTACTGAATATGCCTCTTGCAATATCTTCTTTACGAAACATTTTGTTCTTTCAATGTATGTTCATACCACAGCTGAATGGTCTCTAGATGTTTGTTTTCATCACTATTTGTATCTCAAAAATTGTAAAATGTTCATGCTCTGCAGGCGTGGGCATTTTCGTCACGATCGTTAATTTCTGCGCGTTTCCGGTCGATCACTTCTGACGTGTCATGGCGCCGAGCGTGAACTCCTATTCCTATTTTTAGGAAGTAAGTTGGTAATTATTTTTCTGAAGCAACAGCTTCATATGGTATCTTTTCGGGTAGGAAAACATATTTGGAGTATTCGATTGCGATCTGAATGCAATGAAAAGCCTGTTTTGTCCTATAGTAGTGTATAATGTGTAGTTCAGTTTGTACATCATAAATTGCGGTTTATTTATGTATTCATGATACGATTATTGTATAGAGGTATAACTTGTTGTTTAGAGACCAATTTGTACTATAATTTGGACTTAATATTTGGAATTATTAGTGCATATTGCCCATATTGTGATACATTTTGCTCATGGCATTAATTATAAAATTTTCATCAAATCGCTGGGTTTAGTATTGTTGAAATCTGAAACCAAATTTATTATCTCTTCCAGTTGATGTACTCTAAATAAGATTTAGTAAAGTTAGACAAATTTTGAATTTATTCTGAAACATATATTTTCAAAGATGATGGTGCCTTAACGGCCGGCGCAAAGTAGCATTGGGATTTCTCTGAACTTGTTTTGCAAATGCATGTACACCCTTTCAGCAATAGATGCTTTCTTGGCAGAAGATCCATAAAAGAACCCTGTAGCCATATCTAAAAAAAAATAATTATGAGCAGGACTGCCAACCCCAAAACAGAGTTTAAAATTCTATATCTATTTGAATGTTACGCCTAAAACAGTAATATAGTTGCATTTATCTGTATTTAGGTGTAAAAAACACCGATTACCTTGATAATACGAACTGAACGATTTTGCCTATTTGTGTCTGGTAATGAATGGTGCTGTCCGAACTGAACTAATTTGTACTAACCAAAAAAGGGCGTCCACAATATAAATATAAGCGCCAAATAATTTAGCTAGACCTTTTATCACACATATGAATCATGCTCATCTCGCTGGTATTTTTTTCGTTGGGATAACTAATCTCTCCTGGAGTCCATGACGGACAAAAGTTGACAAGATGAAAGGTTGTCTGTCACGCTACAACCTCCATGACATACGGTTGCCCATTGAGCACAATTCCCCTAATTGAGCAATGTGGCGATGTCTGGCATGTTGATCTGGACTGTACCAATGCGTTCACTTCGGACTCATAATCCACAGGCTAATATTTTCTCTATTTTATAGCTTTGAAATAGACTGAACGAATTCGTTCACTACGGCCG